TTTAGAGTCAGAATTTTTGGGGGGTTTAAGAGGCGCAGGTTTGACCTTATTCACCCCCCTCGAGGGTGTTTTCACTTCTGCATTTTGATTTTGAAACGCGTAATTGACCTTCGCGTTTTAAAATTAGAACGCAAGTTTGACCCTCGCGTTTTGATTTTGAAACACGGGGATGACCTCTACGTTTTGATCTTGAAACACATGTCTTTCTGTTTGGAAAGACCAAGTTCATAGAGGTTTAACTGTTAGAGATGTGATGTTAACATAACAGTAATTTAGAGGTTTATCATCCTATTGATGAGGATTGATAAGTTGATTGTCATAGGTGTGATGTTAACGTGACAATAATTTATTATGATCAGAGCAACTTTGGGGACTTATTGCTCTAGTGAAGAGGATTGATAAGTCCGTAGGTGTAAATTTTGATTTCCCGAAACTGGGATTTTTGTTTGTATTTATAAGAATGGCTTATTACAAACTAATGAATCAAAATTACAACAGAAGCAGAGGGAATGCCCTCCTTGTTTAATGTGAGGACTTTGATAGCGATAGGACGTCTCGCTCGGTTCTTGCATCGAGTCTGCTTCCCTTGAACGATTCGATCGAGGTTGCTGGTGAGCTTCAGTACACAGTAGAAGCTCGCGTTAATCGAGTTCGAGTCTCCGAGTTCAAATGGCGATCAGAGCCGAGAACTAAGAGCTAACGGTTCAGCTAACTGATTGATTTGATCAATTAACTATGAACGGACTCTCAATCTCTTAAACTCCCCCCTGTTTCCTATTGCCAGGAGAGGTTCTTAAAAATAGGGCAGACGACATGGCCACTCCCTGAATCATAGGATATGACCATGTACTGTTGGGAGATACCATGCTTCTCACTTGTACTGTGAGCGGCCACTTGATGGGCTCGGAGCACTATACTCCTCCCTTCACGTCGTGGGAAATGGGAATGCCCATCAATGTACGTGGTGTTGCGGCCGCCAGGTGTTCTGGCAAGTCTGGCAAATTCATCATTCGCCAGGCTCGTTGCTTGAATGTTCAGGTGAATTTTAGTCACTTGGGTTGATTTTGGCTCGTGCGGGCGAGTCGGGTACATAGGCGAATTTGGCGATTGTGGGGATTTGACTGGTCATTTGTACTATAGATGGCTACTTGATGGGCTTGGAGTACTGTGCTGCTTCCCCTCATGTCGCGGGTATTAGGAAGGCCCATCCTTGTACGTGATATTACGGCCGCCAGGTACTTTGGCGAGTCTGACGAGTTTACCGATCGCAGGTGAATTCGGTTCTTGAGCGAACTTAACTCGTGCGGGCGAGTCCAGTGTGCAGGCGAGTTTTTTTTGATTGCTTGGTAGATCGCCAGATGCATAGTCAAAATTGGTTCTTGGTGTGGTCTTAGCTCGTGCTGGCGAATTAAGCACACAGGTAAGCCCAATTCTCAAGTTGCGTGGGCGACTTGAATACGTAGACAAATTTCATATTTATCTGTAAAGGTAATTTTTACTGTCTACAAGACCCCCTTCAAAGTTTTCAGACCTAAACCAACTCGTGTGTGGTCTGAAATACTTTGAATAAAGAGGTTCCTGATGAGTTAAGGAGAATTTGACTCCCTCGGCTAGATTGAGGTCTTTGGATGAATTTGAGCGGTGCGAGCGCACCCGGGCGGGATTGGCACCGTTCGAGTTGGGCCTCCCACAATCGAAATTCGGGCTCGGAGGGCGAGCCGCGTGTCCGTGGGGAAAGTTCCCATGCTTGTCAATTAAGATGACGCCTCATCTTCGCGCACTTGTTTAAGGGGAAATCCGATGACACCTTTTTAATCCCAACCGTTGATCCGACATGTGGTTGTGTGCGAGTCGCCCGATCTTGGCTATTCCGCGTGGCATTCCAAACGATCTGCTTTGTTTATGCCCATTCGATTGGAACCGCCAAATCGAAATTGTTTGCTTCGAATGGTCAGAGAATCTTAACTGTTGAGATCTTGCGTATATAGTGTTGATTCATCTCCTTTGCAAGAGGATCACTACACTGGTAAGTTCTCTTGCTTAAACCTTCTTAGAGAAAACCCGGACTTCCTAGATTCAGAATGGCTTTGGGAGCAGGAACATATGCTTCAAAGGGGAAGGGGGAGGCTATCGAGCCCGAGCCCATCATCATTTCAGAT